ACATTCAAGTCAAATGAATGAATGAACCAGTGAAGAAGCAAGTGAATGGAAGGTCAGTGTAGTAAACTCTTAGGGGATTTCCTAAGCACCCCCTCTGCCCCTTGCCATGAGCCTGGTCCATGGCCAACACCTACATCTCTAGTATGCTTTTTATTTTTATCTTTATTTTTTAGTGCTGGGGCTCAAACCTGGGACTGGTGCATGCTAAGCAAGTGCTCTATTACTGAGCTGTATCCCCAACTCTTTAAATTTATTCCTTCCTTCCTTCTTTCTTTCTTTTTCTTTGTTTCTTTTTCTTTCTTCTCTCTTTCTGAAACAGGATCTCACTATGTAGCCCTGGCTGACCTGGAACTCACAGAGATCCACCTACCTCTGGCTCCCAAGTGCTAAGATTAAAGGTGTGAGCCACCATGCCTGGCTTCTTTTGATTTTGAGACAAGATCTTTTGAAGTTACCCAGGCTGGCCTTGAGCTTGTTCTGTAACCCAAGCAGACCTTGAACTTGCAGTCCTCCTACCGCAGTCTCCTTAGCTGCTGGATTACAAATTTGTGCCACCAAGCACATCTTAACTTGTATCCTTGTTCAGACCCTTCAGCCCCTCCTGTCCTATAGCAGCCCTATCACCAGATGAAAATCTAGCCACTCTGGGAACAAAATATAAAGGCTAAATAAGCAAAAATAGTCACAAGCAGCCATGTGTCACATAATTCCACTTATAAAGTGTGTGGAATATGCACCTCTATGGAGACAGGAAGATTTCTGTCACCCAGGGCTGGAAGGGATGGAGAATGGTAAATAACAGCTAAAACTCACAGGGTTGAAGGTGAGGAAAATGTTCTAAAACAGACTGCGGTTAAATTCTAACTCTCAGTGAATACACTAAAAACCACTGAATGAACATTCAGCCACAAAGAGGATGGAATCCTGTCATTTGCAACAATGTGGATGGAACTGGAGATCATTGTTAAGTGGAATAAGCCAAGCACAGAAAGAGAAGAACTGCATGATCCCACTTGTGTCTAAAAGAGTTTATCTTAAGCTGAGTATGGTAGCTCTCACTTAATCTCAGTACTAGGGAGGCTGAGGCAGGAGAATGGTCACAAGATGGAAACTTACCTGGGCTACAGAATAAGATCCTGTCTCAAAATAAGGAGGTACAGTGATGCCTATTTGTAATCCTAGCTAGAAGTAAGATGGGTATAAATAACAAAAACGTACTGTACATTTCGTGTGTGTGTGTGTGTTTATGTGTAGGGGGCATGGGTGCTGTGTGTATGAGTATGTGTGAAAGCCAGAGGAAAACCTTCACTACTGTTCCTTAGGAGCAATCTATTTTATTTTTTAAGATTTTCTGTTTATGCATATGTGTGACTGTGTGAATGTATGCCACATGAGTGCAGGTATCTACAGAGGCCAGAAGAGGGAGTCTGATCTCCTGCAGCCAGAGTTAAAGGCAATTGTGAGCTACCCAACATGGATGCTGAGACGTGAACTCAGGTTCTCTGGAGGAGCAATAAGTCTGTTATCCACTGAGCTATCTCTCCTGCCCCTGGTCCACTTTCTGTTGAGACAGAGTCTCTCACTGACTTGGAGTTTACCACATAAGCTAAACTGATGAGCTAATGAGCCCCAGGAACCCACCCGTTTTAGTTTCCCAAACCCTGGGATTACAGGCACATACTACCACACCCAGCTTTTTTATGTGTTCTGGGAATCAAACTCAGGCTCTTATATTTGAAAGGCAGGCACTTTACCAACTGAGCTATCACCCAGCCCAATGTAATATATGTTTCAAAGATCTAGAAGAAAGGGTTCTGAAAGTTTCTACAATAAGGAAATAATAAATGTTTGAGAAAATAGATATGTTTAAGCTGGGTGTGGTGGCACATGCCTGTAGTCCCAGCACCTGGGAGGCAGAGGCAGGCAGATCTCTGTGAATTCAAGGCCAACCTGGTCTACATAGTGAGCTCCAGGCCAGCTGGGGCTACAGGGAAACCCTGTTTCAAAAAGACAGAAAAGAAAATATATATGTTTAATCTGACTTAAATATTATATAATGAAGGGCTGGAGAGATGGCTCAGTGGTTAAGAGCACTGGCTGCTCTTGCAGAAGACCTGGGTTTGAATCCCAACACCTGCAAGGCAGCTAACAACCATCTGTAACTCCAGTTCCAGGGGATCCAACACACTCTTCTGACGACTGCAGGCACCACACGACACAGGTGCACTTATACACATGCAGGTCTTACACTCATACACATAAAATAACAGAAAAACAAAATATTTTTAATATTATATAATGTATAATACATTGAAACAGCATATGGTATTCCATCAATATATACAATTTTATGTTTTTATGTATCATTTAAAATGTAGTATATATCATTTTTAAAAAATATTTTATTTATAATTTTTATTTTATGTGTACGAGTGTATTGCCTTCATGTAACCACAGAATACACTTAGGATGGGCTGGGTGTTGTTTTTAAGCACCAGTGCACCCGTGTCGTGCAGTGCCGCAGAGGTCAGAAGAGGGCTTCAGATTCCCCTGGAACTGGAGTTAAGGATGGTTCGTAGCCACCATGTGGGTGCTGGGAATCGAACCTGAGTCCTCTGCAAGAGCAGTCAGCGCTCTTAACCACTGAGCCAACTCTCCAGCCCCACTAAAATGTAGTATATATCATTTTAAAATAATAATGATATATAAATAAAATTATCATTTTAAAATAATTTTGCAGGCTGGGGATTTAGGTCAGTGGTAGAACGTTCATTTATCATGTGCAATGTTCTGTACCTCAAAAACAGCAATAAATACATATATTTTATAAGAAGCCCATTGAAACATGAATTATATGATATGTGCATTATATCTCAATAAGGCTATTAAAAACAGGTCTTAAAAATATTGGGTGGAGAGATAGCTCAGCAGTTAAGAACACTGGTTGCTCTTGCAGAAGACCTGGGTTCGAATCCCAGCACCCACATGGCAGCTAACAACTGTCCATAACTCCAGTCCCAGGGGATCTGACAGCCTCTTCTGACCTCTGCGAGCATTGCACAATATGGGTGCACTTACCTACATGCAGGCAATACACGTATATGCATAAAATAAAAAATAAACAAATAAAATTAAAAATATTAGGTATAGTGGCACACTCCTGTAATCACAGCACTTGGGAGGCTGAGGCAAGAAGATTACCATGAGTTTGAGGCCAACCTAGGCTATTCAGCAAGACCTTGTCTCAAAAGTAAAAAATAAAGTAAAATAAAAATCCCACAGTGGCTTCCCATCTGCAAAGGAAGCTCCCAGCTGCACTTAGTCACTGTAACCACAGAACACACTTAGGATGGGCTGGGTGTTGTTTTTAAGCACTTTGTGTGGCCTGTCTGATCTCAGCCTCACAGCTCTCTAATGCAGGCATAAATTATGCGCAGGCCCACATTGCAGATGGATAAACTGATGGGAGATTGAATGACTTGCCCAAGATTACATAATTCCTTTGTGCTTGTACCTAGTCTGGGCACTTCTTGCAATATGCTGTAAGGAACTGTTTACAGGCCTCTCCCCCAGGAGTGTAGCTCCTGGGATTTGGTTGTAATATCTAGTTTGGAGCTGTATTTCTTGCTCCTGGCCCATCAGACCCCACACGAGAACAGTAAAAGAAGGCACAAGTACCAGGGATAGGTCCAGTGGCCACATGGTCTTGAACCCAGGTTTCTTTTTGCAAGGTCAGCACCTACTCATTCTCACCCTGCCCCTTACTCCCAGGAGACAGATTCTAGAATATTTTCTCCTGAGCCCTTGTGTAATCTCCCTTCTTAAAGCCCGTCTTTCCTCCTGGGACCTTTCCCGGTAACCAAGCAGTGGCCCTTCCCAGAGCCGCTAGCTGCACCCTGGAGCCTGGCTCTGTCCCCAAGTGCAGCAGGCCGCAAGGACATTCAGAAGACCACTGCCCAGAAGACCTGCCTAACCTTATCTCTTGAACCGTGTCCCTCATACAAGAGACACTGCCACTGCTAATGTCCCTTGATGACCTGACAGGTGGCACTAGATCTGATGGGGACTTAATGAAGTGGACAGAAATGTCTGAAGAAGTACAGGCTTTCTCAGAGGACAGTGGGGGTGATCACAACTCCTAGCAGCTCAGTGATCAATGACTCAGCAGCAGTGTCACTCCAGGGAGGCAGGCAGCATCACCTCACCCAGGTCTCTGTCCCTGACCACTCTAGAAGCCACATTTGTGCTCGCTGCCCTTAATCTCATTCTGAAAGTCACTGCCCTGTCCAGCCCATCTGCAGACGCTCTGTGAGATCTTCTGTCAGCAGCCCTACCCAAATGGCTTGGCTAGAGAACAGATCTATTCAGAGCCCCACAGCGGTGAAGACTGGCCTACATGCCCCTCCCTGGCAAGGCTGGCCATGCCCTCTGACTCCAGCCCAGACCTCTTACCCTAAGCCCAGATAGTGAAATCTGGGTAATCATGAGGTCCAGAACTCTAGGGAGAACTCCACTGTGCTCCACCCCCAGCATCCAGCCAAATTCCCCCTCCCCATGTTCCCTAAGGAAAGGGAAGCCCCAGGGCCTCAATGTGCAGCACAGGCCACTGTGGCTCTTGGAAACCAGAGCTGACAGTGGCTGGTATAATGCCCAGGTGGCTCAGGAGGCCTGGCTCCCTTCAGGACATCCAGAACCCTGGTCTGTCTTTCTTCTGGCTGCATTCTCTGCTTATACAGACCTCCTCTCTGGCAGCCCCCTTCACCTCCAAAATGACAAGCAAGACCCCCAACTTGGCTATCTCTTTACCCTCCATTACTTCACTCCAGATATACCCCTGAATCCCTCTCCCAACAGAGTCAGGGAGAAGTCAAGCTGTGATACTCAGAGGCAACTGAGTCCTAGGCCCCTCCAGAAGAAAAAGAGTCTCCCACCAAGGCCCCTGGGAACATGCCTGCATCTTACACCCAAACCCTTCCCCCTGAACAAAGCATAGCACTTACCATGATAGAAAAGATGAGGGGGATGAGGTTGAGGGGCCAGACAGGGCAGAAGCAAGAGGCAATGGCAAGTACCAGGTAATCTTTGGGAGCTTCTTGGTCCTGGGCATAAGAAGTAGTGATAATGGAAGATGCCCGCCTTGAGCTGGCACGGGAAGGGGAGCCAGAGAGGGAGGCTTGGCGGTGCCCCTCAGAGATAACCTTGAAGGGCAGACCGTGGCCATTCTGCTCCAGATCCAGAGCCCCTGACAGGGACTTGGACAGACTCAGGGCTTTGTCATCCTTGCTCTCCACTTTGGTAAGAAGCTTCTCCATCTCAGGCAGGTCCAGCGGTGAGGTGGAGCCTGGGTCCTGCTCTTGGGGAAACTGAGGCTGTGCTGGGTCGGCCATGTTGGTTTGGGCCTTGGGGTTCTCCAGGTCCAGGCTAGGACAAGGGGCTCCAGAGGGTCCTCAGCACACCATTTCCTAGCCCAGATTTCAAGCCTCTGGAGCAGGGGTGGAAGCTTTTGCAGGGGATTAGGGCCAGCTGGGTGTTGGGAGGCTCAGAGAAGGATTCTCAAGGCTAGCAGGTTCAGAGCCTGGGGCCTGCTGCTGCTCCTGTGGAGATCCCCAGGAATCTGGAGGCTTCAGCTCGGTTCAAGTTTGAGGCCAACTTTGCTGGCGCTGCTGACAGCACAGATGGGCGGGGAAACTAGAGAAAGCACAGCGAAAAGAGGAGCTCCTTTCCTCTTCTCGCCAGTGAATGAGGCTGAGGCAGGGAGGCTGTGTGTGTGTGTGTGTGTGTGTGTGTGTGTGTGTGTGTGTGCGCGCGCGCGCGCGCCTGTCCCTCCCTTCCTCCCTACCCTCCTTGGAGATGCCTTTCGTTTTCAATTCCCTTCTCCCCAGAGAATTGCCCCAGCAGCATCCTGCCTCTGCCCCAGCCCAGTCTGGCACAGCTCAGCACAGTCCATGGGAACTTGGGCCAGCCTCTGATTTCCTTTGCAGTCCCAGGACCTGTTCCTCTGGGCCAGGGGCTCTGGATAGAAAAAAAGACAGTGATCACAAAAGTATGAGAGTTCCGTTTCTCCCCTACTAAGCAGATGAGTGCTTCCTACTGTCCGTTGGGAAATGCTGGTCTCTGGGCCCATCACATCCCACCCAGGCCTTGACCCTTAACCTTTAGAAGCATCTGGGCCAAAGCCTGCCTCCTCAGGAGAGAAGAGATGTTGACTGTGTGGCCCTTGGAGGACCTCTGCCTGAGTTTCTAAGCAGCTCACCAAAGGCTGGGGAAGGGGCCTGTGAGGTAAATGACTTTGTGTTGTGCCTGTTGGGGTTTTTCCATGGTACTGAATGGTAGGCAGAGACCCTCCTGGGACTGCTCCAAAGCACCATGGGTTCTGGCTGCTTTAACTCTGATCCTCTCCACTGTTTCTGCCTCCTTGATTCTCTTCATCTTTTCCTCTCTCTCACCTTACTCTGCTTTACCATAGTGACATGGAGCTACCAAGGGTACATAGAGGGGTATGATTTGGATGGGATATATGAAACCACTTAAAATTCCAGGGTCATGCATGATGTGGGCAGCCAGCCCACAATCCCAACCCTCAGGAAGCAGAGACAGGGGATCCCTAGCTTGCGAATCAATGAGCTCCAGGTTCAGAGAGAGACCCTGCCTTAATACATATGTAGAGAGTGACTGACGACAGCCAGTGTCAAGCTCTGTCCTCCACACACATGCACAAATATACACATATACCTACACACACGCGCGTGCGCGCGCACACACACACACACACACACACACACACACAATCTGCCCACACATAATTTGAATATGCATACACATTAAAAAGAAGAATTTTTGTTCAGTAAGGAAAATTCATTGTTATTTGCCAAATGCAACCCTCAGGGAGTCTCTTCCTGCTTCTCAGACCAGCAGCTCTTATCCAGGCCAAGCCAGGAGAACTACTGGGTTCCCCTGCCAGGAGGTTTCAGAAAATACACCAATGTCTTTCAAATAGGAAAGCCCTTCCAAGAAAAGGCAGTTAGGCCCCCAAAGTGACAGGTTCTCAGTCAGTATTCCATGTTACAATCTGGGAGCTGTGCTGTGGATGGAGGGACCTAGGCCCAACCCAGTTCAGTTGTAATTACTTAAAATGTAATTAGTCCAAATGAAAATTACTGGATACAAGTAAACACATACAAGATTTTGAAGACCTTGATCAAAAAGAAGGAATATACCATTCCCTTAGTACTTTATACTAAGGGCATGCTGAAATAATATTTGCATATGTATACCTAAATGAAATATTAAAATTAATTTCATATTTCTTTTTTTATTTTTTCTTTTAATGTGCCTAGAAGAAAAATTGAAAATAAAAATATGGTTTACAGGCTGGAAAGATGGCTCAGTGGTTAAGAACATTGGCTGCTCTTACAGAGGACCTGGGTTTGAATCCCAGCATCCACATGGTGGCTAACAGCCATCTGTAACTCCAGTTCCAGGGGATCCAACACCCTCTTCTGTCCTCTGTGGGCACTGCACAACACAGGTGCACTTACATCCATCAGGCAAGACACATAAAATAAAATACACATAAAATAAAAATAAATAAATAAAGCCAGGCATGGTGGCACATACCTTTAATCCCAGCACTTGAGAGGTAGAGGCAGAACTCTGTGAGTTCAAGGCCAGCCTGGTCTACATAGTGAGTTCCAGGACAGCTGGGGCTACAGGGAGACCCTGTCTCAAAAAAAGACCAAATAATAAATAAATAAATAAATAAATAAAAGTTTTTAAATGGCTTACATTATATGTTTAAAAGACAACACTGATCTAAAGGATAGAGGAGGGCTAGTAAGATGGGTCAGCGGGTTAAGGCACTCGCCACCAAATCTGAGTTTGATAATCACCACGTCCCCCACCCCCAGGATACAATGAATGGAAGGAGAGAAATGACTCCTGAAAGTTGTCCTCTGACCTCCACACTTACACATGGCACATGTGCACATGCACACACCCACACACACATACACATGATAGATTATAGATAGATGATAGATAGATAGATAGATGATAGATAGATAATTTTTAACATTAAATAACAGATGGAATAAGACATAATAAAAGAAACAAGAAAAAAAATCAAGATGTCCCCAGAGTGGTCAAGACAGTAGCAGCAAAGGTTACTAACTGGATAGGCTAGGGTTAAGGAACCACCAAGTCAGCTTGGCCAGTGTAAGACACTGGGTCTGCAGTGCCACCTAGTGGGGGATAGTGATAGGGACGGACCAGAGTTGGAGGCGGGCATCTCAGAGGATCGGGGTTGGGGAAGAAGTAGCTGGCCGGTTTGGGCTGTCCACATGAGCCCAACCTAGCCAGTGGTACAGGGTGCTGGTCCAGGTTTCAGGGGTCCCAGGCAGGGTCCCACTAGATTGTACATGGAAGTCTATGGATTATACTCATTCTTCAGGGTGGGCTTGGCCTGCATAGTATTGACTTAACATACATTTGTGTACGTGTGTGTTTGTGTATGCATGCAGGCTAGAAGTCAGTATCAAGTGTCTTCTTCAATTGTTCTCCATCTTATTGTCACTGAATTTGGAGCTTGCTGATTGGCTAGCCCCCTAGTTCTGCTTCCCCAGTGTTGGGATTACAGGGGCATGAAGTGGCACCTGGTTCATATGGGTGCTAGGGACTGAACTCAGGTACTCATGCTTGCCCACCAGGCACTTTACCAACTGAGCCATCTCCTCAGCCCATAACACATGACTTTTTTCCACCTCATCCCCTTTCTTTAAAACAATTTTCAGCCAGGCGTGGTGGCACTTGGGAGGCAGCACTTAATCCCAGCACTTGGGAGGCAGAGGCAGTCAGATCTTTGTCACAAAAAAAAATTCATTATGTTTATTTATTTTGTTGGGGATGGGGTGCACACATGTGCCACAGTATGTATGTGGAGGTCAGAGAACAATTTTTAGTAGTTGATTCTCTCCTTACACTGTGTGGGTTCTAAGGATTGAACTCAGGTTATCAGCCTTGGCAACATATGCCCTTTACCTGCTGAGTTGCCTTCCCAGCCCTAATCCCAGCACTTGGGAGGCAGAGGCAGGCAGATCTTTGTGAGTTCGAGGCCAGCCTGGTCTACATAATGAGTTCCAGGACAGCTGGGGCTACAGGGAGATGCTGTCTCAAAATATATATATAATTTATTCCACATAACAATTTGGGTTTAAGACTTTCAAAGTGAAGATATTGGAAGCCTAGACCAATTTTCTATAGAAATCAAGTCAGTTAAGTCTTTGGAAGGACTTTGAACTCCTTGTCCAACTCCATGTTCACATGACCCAGCCTGCCTGGGGATGTGAGTGCTGAATCCTGGACATGTGGTCCCAGAACCCTGATGAGCTGTGAAGATGCTGAAAGTGCTGCAACTGTTAGCACTCTCTGCCTTTCCAAGTTAAATCTCGCCAGGTGTGGTGGTACATGCCTGTGATCCCAGCACTTCTAAGGCAGAGGCAGGAGGATGGTGAGTTCCAGGCCATCCTGGACTACACCAGGAGCCACTATCTCAAAACCCCAGTGAAGAGGCTGGAGAGCTTTTGCAGTTAAAATCATGTCCTGCTCTTGTAGAGGACCCCAGTTTGGTTCCCACCACTCACATGGAGTGGCTCACAACCACTTGAACTCCAGTTGTAGGGGATTTGACATCCTCTTCTGGACTCCGAGGGTGCCTACACTTATGTGCATATACATACATACATACATACATACATACATACATGCATACATGAACATAATACAAATAATTAAAAATAAAATAAGAGCTGGAGAGATGGCTCAGTGGTCAAGAGCACTTGCTGCTCTTGCAGAGTACCTGAGTTCAGTTCCCAGCTCCCTCATGGTGGCTCACAACCATCTTTGACTCCAGTCCCAGGGGATCCGATGTCCTCTTCTGGTCTAGATAGGCATCAGCCTAGCACATGGTACACATGCAGGCACAACACTTGTATACATAAAAGAAAAAGAAATCTTGTTTAAAAAGAAATAATAAACCTTTTTTTATAAAAAGAGAGAGACAGAGAGAGAAATTGCCAGGTGTGGTGGTGCATGCCTTAAATCCCAGCACTTGGGAGGCAGAGGCAGGCAGATCTCTGTGAGTTCAAGGCTAGCCTGGTCTACATAGAGAGTTCCAAGACCGCTGGGGCTACAGGGAGACCCTGTCTCAAAAAGACAGAGAGAGAGAGAGAGAGAGAGAGAGAGAGAGAGAAAGAAATGGGGGCTGGAGAGATGATTAAGCAGTTAAGAGCACTGGCTGCTCTTGCAAAGGACCCAGATTCGATTCTCAACATCTACATGGCAGCTGAAAAATGTTCATAACTCTAGTTCCAGGGGATCTGATGTCCTCTTCTGACCTCCATAGACATTGCATGACACTTTCATACATGTAGGCAATACACTCATACACATAAGATAAAATAAAATAATAATAAAATAAAATTGAGAAAGAGAAAGAGAAATGGTAAAGGATGGAGAAGATAGACCTGTTTAAGGCAACATATCCAAACACATCCAAACATGTACATAAATATACATATAATGTGTATATGTCAAAAGACTTCAGTGGTAGCTAAATACAAATCAGCATGCCAGTTCTGAAACACACAATCCTGATAAAGCAATGAAAATAACTGTGTTGCAGATCCCATTGTTTATAAACATCTTTTCATACAGTCTGTTCTTATAACCACCTTGTGAACAGATTATTAAATAGCTTCCAATCAGTGAGTGTTTACAGAGGGGCCACATTGAGTGCTTTAAGTGCTTATCTAATTTGGTCTACACAGCAGCCTATGATCTAAAAACTGAGTTATACAAATGAGAACACCAAAGCTCAAAGAGGCTAGATGATTTGTCCAATGTCACTCTGCTGGTAAGCTAAAGGGTAGTATAATAGAATTCCCTCATCTGCTGCATATCCTGATTCTACCTACAGAGGGCATAGTTGACATCGCTGAGTGGAGAATGTGATCGCAAGAGAAAAATCTTATTATATTGGAATTTAGAAAAACAGGACCTGCTAGTTATTTATCATGCTTCCAAAGAATAATTTTCTGATGGTAAAATAAGGATAAAGCATTGTCTAGGCTGCCCGAACACAAAATTATAGTACTAAACAAACAGTAACAATTTATAGACAACTAACTGCCAGAATATGTTATGAGCCACATTGATTTCACAGCCTCTCTGAGATAGTGTCATTATTCAAGGCATAGGTGAGGAAGTGGCAGAGGGGTTAGATCTCAGGAAGGCCTGGTTCTTTCCTTTCCATTTTCTGTCTTCTCATCGGCAGGTCTCCAGAGTTCCATACTTTGCTCCTATCTAGACCCAGAGCCAAAACCATCCTGTGCGCTGTGCCACAACCTTGACTGTGAAACTGGGAGCCCTAAGGTCTGTCTGGGGAGAGAGGTCCAGTATACCCTCAGAGTTGTCAAAGCAGACATGCTCAGTTGCAGCCCTGAGCCTCATCTCCCCTGAACTGAGAAACCCCCATTCTCCCGAGTCTATACCTGTGGCATCTCCCCAGCTTCTGCTGGGACACAATTCTGAGCTGGCAAGAGCCCAGCTTTCCAAAGACCAGAAGCCCTCAGCCCTGCAAGCAGCACCTTGCAGCATTAGCATCATCAGCAGGGGCTGAGCTAGGCAGTTCATCTTAAATGCAGGGCAGCTCTCCAGAATTCTCAGTGAAAGGTGGCCTGAGTCTCACATTCCCTTGACCTTACCTTGCTTGGCCTTTGACCCTTCTTCCCCAAATCCCTCCCCCAAATCTCCCCTGAATTCCAAGTGTACCACTCATGACAGCAGCCCTAGAACTTTATTCACTGAGAGGTCTGCCTGGTCACTCTGGGGTATAAACAGGACTTCCTGACCCCCACCTTTGCCCTCAGCTTCCCTCCTTGCAACTGGCCCAGCCACTCTTTTCATGGCAACCTGGGCTGAGACTCACTGAAGACAGCAGCCTTGCAGAAAGGCCCAGAGGTGAGCCTGCCAATGACCTTGGCATTGCAAGTCCAATCAACATCCTCCAAATAATGTCCCAAGTACAGGGAGGAATGTCTTTTCTCTCTCTTCCCCTGGGACCCCTGACTGTGCCTGGCCACTCCTGAGGTCTAGCTATAAACCAGTGCCCAGGTTTCCACCTGAGGACTGTAGCCCTGGCCCACCCTTCCAAGGTAAGCCCCAGGTTCTGAAGCTTTCCTGTCACCTTGGGCCATTGGGCTCAGGGGAGTCGTGGTAGCAGACGGAAAAGACAGTTTTCCTTTTTATTTGGTCACTTCTCCTGCCTCTCTCAGATCAGACATGGATGGGGCTGCAGCCCAGGTAGGGGAAGGGGGAGGGTGTCACACCTTGAGCCCTTAGATCACAGCCTCTGTCTACCCACATTCCCACACAAGTCCCACTGTCCAAAAGCAGCAAGAGAAATCAGGGCTCAGAGGCACAGGAATGCACAGGTCACTTTTCCAGGAAGTTGAACAAGTCCAAACCTAAGATCCTGATCCTTTTTCAGCACCACAGACTGGGATATGGAGGTGCTACCGCAGTGTCCAGAGCTCCTTTCCACTGTCAAAGCAGCCTCCTCTCACTCAAGTCGCAACTCATTCCGTTTTGCTCCATCCGGGGCGATATTTGCATTCTTCTCTTTTGCAGTCATTCTGCCAGCCCGACTTTCCTCCGGGAGATCTAAGGCACTGTCAGGAGTGCTGATAGTCTAGCCCAGAGCTGGTTCGCAAGGAGCCCCGCGGCCACGGACTCAGTCCAGCAGTGGGGGCCCCGGGACATCGGCGCCAGCTTCCCCCGGAGGCCTGGGCCACGCCAGGCACCTCGGCCACCGGCCTAGGCCGCTCCAGGTGCGTGTGCGCGGAGCACGAAGCGCAGCGCGGCGCAGACGGCACGAAGGGGCCAGTGGCATCTCGGCGCGCGAGGCCAGGCGCTGCGGGAGGCGGCGCGGGTCGCGGAGGGCTGAAGCCCGCGTCTCCGGAGCCCGAGCCACGAGCGGCCTGGCCGTGACACTCCAGGTGGGCGCAAGGCCAGCGCGGCGCGGGGCTGGCGCGCAGGACCAGGGAGAGCGCGGCGATGCGGTGAATGGCCCTGCGCAGCGTGGCGATCTTGGAGAGCCTCTTGCCGCCCAGGTCGTGCCGCAGCGCGCGCCGCAGCGCGTTGAAGGCCTCGTTGTAGTCCAGGATGCGCTTGCGCTCGCGCACGTTGGCGGCCATGCGCCGGGCCTTGGACCGTGCGGGCCGTGTGCGCGTCCTGCCTGCTGCCTCCTCTGCCTCGCCCTGGCTGCGGGGCGCGCCGTTCTTCCTCAGTACCCCTAAATTCCTGCCAGCCTCTGGACAAGAGCCCCCCAAGTCCTCCACACAGCCCTCGGCCCCCTTCAGGCTCCTAAGGCCTAGCCCTGGCACGCCTCGGAGCATGGCCTATGCCCGGCCCGGCTGCTTCAGCTTTGGGTCCGAAAGGCTGCTGGTCCACCTTCTCAGCGTTGGCTCCTGCTGGCTGGACACTCCTTGGACAGGCCCTCTCTAGATGGGCTTTATGGCACCACGTGTCTCCCCACCCTTCCCATCCATCCATCTCCCTCCTCCTGCTTTATTACCTGCCCCCAGGTAGGATGGTGAGGGAGGAACTGAGAGGAAGGAAGCAGGTAGGGAAGGAAGCATGCAGATTCTTGTACACAGGACCAGCTGAGTAGCCTGGCCACACCCTGGGCAGTGCTCCAACTGCCACAGGGAACTTGCCTGTCCTGCCTCACTCCGGGGGACTGACCCTCTGGGGTAACCTGGGTTCTCTTTCTTTCCTTTGACCCCAGATAGAGTGCTACATTTGGTTCTGAAGAGGAGAGTGGATGGTCTTACAGAAAGATAACAATGTAGGTTGAGTGTGATTTAAGAACCTCGAGGGTCAATGAGATGATTTAGCAGGTAAGAGCACCGACCGCCATGCATCGAGACCTGGGCTCAATCCACAGGGTTTTCACGGGGGTAAGTAGGAGAGAATTGACTCTGGCAAGTTGGATTCTGACTTCTGATTACAACATGCTGTAGCATGCACATGTATACACAAAGAGTGTGTGTGTGTGTGTGTGTGTGTGAGAGAGAGAGAGAGAGAGAGAGAGAGAGAGAGAGAGAGGTGAATAAAAAAAGAAACTTCAAAGTTCTTGTCAAGTCCTGTGGGCAACCAGAGTTGACCTTAAGGAAAAGCATGATCATCCCAGAAGGCTCCAGAAGGGGAAAGGCAGATCTGACACAGTAAGCTACCTGGGGCTTCGGGAATTATACTATCATGAAGCTGACAGGGATTCTGGGTTGGGGTTTGGATTGAGTTTAGTACTTCCCCTAACATCTCTTTGACTCCCCCTTCTTCAGGAGAGCTGGGCTGTATCAGCAGCAAAGGGTTATCCAGATTTATCTCTGGTGCCCCCTTGCAGTAACCATCAGGGGGCATCCTTTAAATCCAAGACCCTTGAGCAGCCCTAGCCCATGACACAGTATGGATGTTATGAATGCAGTGGACAATCCTCACAGTCACCACCAGGGTTTGGAATTTTAAACAAGATTTTTAAAAAGGAAAAGAAAATAATAATGCTTAAGCTTAGAGAAAGACCCTCAATGAAATTTCAAGTATGTATACATGGTTTCAGCAGCACCATAAGATTAAGAGTAATCTCATTCCCAGCCACATTCCAAATGCTACATTCCAAATCAGCGAGAATGGGCATATAGTTCACATCCATCTCACCAAGAGCATTACCAATGGCCTCGTTACTTGAAATTGAATTTCCCCACAGAGGAAGAGAACAGGGCACTAGGAGACAAATTGTATGTATGTATTTATTTGTGATTGTTTATCTGTCTTGCAGCGCACTAGACTGCAAGTATTCTAAAGACTATATTTCCCAGGATCAATTCCTTCAAAATCTGTGATATATGTGGAATAGAATCAGCTAAGCTAGGTATGTTGGCACACATCTATAATCCCAGCAGAAGGCAGAGGTAGGAAGATCAAGAGTTTGAGGCCAGCCTCACCTATATAGAGAGTTTGAGGCCAACCTAGAGAGTTGGAGGCCAGTCTAGACAACAGGAGACCTTGCAAAGCAAACAAACAAACCAGAAAACACAAAAGTATCTAGAAGCCAGGCATAGTAGTGCATGCCTGTGAGCCAAGCACTCAAAGAGGGCTGAGTGAGGAAGATCATGAGTTTGAGCCCAACATGGACTGCCTAGTGAGGCCCTGTGTCAGAAAAAAGGAAGGAGGGCTGGGGGTGCATCTCAGTGGTAGAGTACCTCTACATAAAGCCCTTGGTTCAAACCCTAGCACTGCAAAATAAAACAAAACAAACAACTAGGCAGAACCAACTATTCTAGTATCCAAACATTCTTGCCCACTGTCTAGCTCAGGCAAGCAGAAGTCAGTCTCTGATCTCAGAAGACAGGACAGGCCAAAGCCCAGGCACCTAGTTTCTGAATGTCACATTCCATGGCCACCTCTGTCTCACCCACCATATCTTTTAGTCTGTTGGAACCACACTGAAGATTTCCAAGTAACCTGTTACAAGTAGACACTAGGACTAAGAGCCTTACCCAGCCCCTGAGAAATACCCAGCCCAGGAGGCCAGGGAAGAACATCTAGACTGTTCAGCGCCAGAGTGCCAAGTAGTAGAGGAAGCTTGATGGTGCCAAGCTGACCTGTGCCAAGTCAGTGGGCTGAACTGCAGTGTTGTTCCTATTCTGACACCAAGGTCTTAACCTCTCTGGACTGGACCTGCATACTCAGCTCATGAGCACACATGCCCCAGCACCCAAGGCCCCATCCACCTCCAGCCAATAACACCTCACTATACAAGCTTATCCCAGTCATCTCCCCCAGCCGCACACCTCTTTTTGTTTTGTATGGAAACTATCTTCTCTATGAGAGCTTAACCAGGGGACTGGGAAAATGGCTCAGTTGGTAATGTGCCTATAGTTCAAGCTAAGGACCTGAGTTCAGATCCCCAAGCACTCACATAAAAGCTGGCCACAGCAGCATGTCTCTGCAATCCTAGTTCTAGGCAGAAACATGCTGGCACAAATCCTAGGCAGAGACAGGTGAACCCCTGGAGCTCATTGACCAGCCAGCCTAGCCATATCGATGAACTCCAGGTTCAATTAGAGACCCTGTCTCAAAAAAAAAAAAATAAGGTAGAGGGCCTGGAGAGATGGCTCAGCAGTTAAGAACACTAGCTGTTCCTACAGAGGACCCAGTTTCCGTTCCCAACACACATGGCAGCTAACAATAGTCTATAACTCCAGTTCCAGGGGATCTGACACCCTCTTTGGCCTCTGCAAGCATTGCACAACATGTGCACTTACATACATGCTGGTAAGACTCATACACATAAAAAATAAAATTTTTGAATAAAAACATAATAAGATGGAGCCAGGTGTGGTGCCGCATGCCTTTAATCCCAGCACTTGGGAGGCAGAGGCAGGTGAACCTCAAGGCCAGCCTGGTCTACGTAGTGAGTTCCAGACCAACTGGGGCTACAGGGAGACCCGGTCTCAAAAAAATAAATAAAAATAAGATGGAGAGCAATTGAGGAAGATACCTGATAACCACCTTTAGCTTCCACATGCATACACATGCACATGTGTGCACACACACATACACATACATACACAGATGCACCAGCATTAAAAAAAAAAAAAGTGTGTTATGTGTAGGCAGGACCAGCTATGTGACTTCCCAGGCCAACTGCAAAGCAAAAGGAAAATGTGGGGCCTTTATTCCAAACTATCAAGAAATTGAAGATGGTGATAGACAGCATTAAACCAAACCCAGGTGTTTTGAAAGCACTGCACAGGTCCCGGGCCCATGAGTGTAGGCAAGAAGCTCAAGCTCTGGATGAAAACTTACATATCTAACAAGATCTTCACTACACCCCCAAAATGGGCAAGCTAAGAGTACCCCCATCAGCATGGAGGGATGGAGAGGACCTGGGCAAGCAAGACTTCCCAAACAAGTCATCCTTCCCCATCAATCTCCAGGGCCCCCCACAGAAGCAGAGGGGAAGATGCGAAGGTTTGATAAGCAAGCTTAAACTGCTTCCAGCACCTTGCTTCCTCCTCACATCCTCAAACTCACACTCCACTGTGGGCAGTATGCTGCTTATTAATAATTAATCATGAAAATAATGACCTTATTAGTAGATACTAACTTCTATGAAGTACTTACTTATTGTAGGACAGGCATTATACTAAGTGTTTTTAACCATACATTATCGTAGCTTCACAACAATCCTGTATAGAAAGCCTATTTTTTTGGGGGGGGAATCTTTTTGAGACAGGGTCTCCCTGTAGCCTCAGCTGTCCCGGAACTCACTATGTAGACCAGGCTGGCCTTGAACTCACAGAGATCCACCTGCCTCTGCCTCCCAAGTGCTGGGATTAAAGGTGTGCGCCACCACGCCCGGCAGAAAGCCTATTTTTACAATACCCATTTTACAGACTTCAAACTGAGACTCAGTCAAGGAACTTATGCCAAGCCACTGGACTGACCTGCAGTGTAGCTCCAATACCAAGGTCTTAACCACTCTGGGCTGGGCCTGCAGTCTCAGCTCATGAGCACCCCTGTCCCAGCACCCAAAGCCCCACTGACCACCAGTAGTTACTAGAAGCCTGGCATTTGTCTTTTGAAGTGAACACTATTAAAGTGGAGGGGCTGGAGCTCAGTAGTAAAACAGTTGCTTAGCATGTAAAAGGGCCCTAGGTTCCATCCCCAATAAGGAGACAGGTTAGAGGATGAAGAAATTTAAATAGTTTCAATGCCATACATGGCAGCACATACCTGTAATCCCAGAACTACACAGGCTAAGGCAAAAAGATTGAGAGTTCAAGCCCACTCTGGGCTACAGAATGAGACTGTCATTTTTTTTTAGGGATTTATATTATTTTTAATTATATGTATGTTTCTCTGTGTATATGCATATGAGTGCAGGTGCCCACAGAGGCCAGAGTTGGAGTTATAGATGGTTGTGACCACCAATCCTGCCTCAATTCCTTTTTTACTTTATGTGTATGAGTGTTTTGTCTACATGTATGTAAATGCACCATGGGCATGTAATGCCTGCAGAGGCCAGAAGAGAGCATCAGATCCCATGGAACTGGATTCTGGGAACCAAACCCAGGTCCTCTACAAGAGTAGCCAGTGCTCTTAACTGGTGAGCCGCCTCTCCAGCCCCCTGCCTCAATTCTTAAAATTTCATTTTCAACAAAGTATGAAAAATGAAAAGTAGTTGGCCAATATGGAGAAAACCTAGAAGGTTGAGGTCAGGGCAAATGGAAAAGTAAGCAGGGGAGAACTGGACTAGGAGGGAGGAGAAAGCCAGCCAGCCTGACAGCCAGCCTGCTGGAACTAAGGCTTGGGCTTCAAGTTTCCTTGG